GTCTTTACAAAGACCTGGCAGTTCCGTGGAACGGACTGGCCGGGCCCCAGGAGCGTCAGTCTGCCGCTGACGCGTGAATCTGCTTCTCCCCGCAGATGCGTACAGGTCACCTCATAGCCCCTTCTATCAGCTACCTCCCTGCGTGCAGCGGCACGCCCCCGACCGGCCGCTGCTGGCAGCCACCCCGCCCGCACTGCAGAAGCTGCTAGGTGAGCCGCGGCCTGGCCCGCAGGCCCCCACGCTGGGCGCCCCGGGCCTCAGGCTCAGTGCCGCCAGGTGGCACCTGGGCCTTGGGTCGGCCCGGCCCCCTGGTCGCCTGAGGTCGGGGCTCCACCCCAGGGCATGTGGGGCCATTTCTGGGGGGGGCGTCTGTGGCTGTCTGGACTGCGGTGCTTCTGGTATCGAGGGGGCGGGGCCCAGGGTGCCGCGCGGTGCTCGCCAGAGAACAGTCCGGGCCGTATCTACGGCAGTGGGTGGGGGGAGGCCCCGTGTACGCATGCGCTCACGATGTTAGGCCGGGTAGACCTGTTGCTCGTCTAAACATCAGGCGAAGGAAACCCCTTCCGTGCTTCGGGCGTCGCCGGTTGCCTCGGTTCAACATCGGTAGCCCGTGTTTACCAAAAAACCGGCAGATTCAGTAACACGGCCTTGCGGGGAGGATGACACCGGGGAGCGGTGGCAGCAGCCACGAGGGGCTCCAGGGGGCACCGAGGGCCCTGGCCTGATGGCAGGAGGTGACCTCCAGCAGCCTGTGGGGACGGCGGCCACGCCCTCCCACACCGGCGTCTGAAGGGCCCCACGGGGTCACGTCTGCAGCGAAGTCGTCTCGCTTCCCCCTAGAATCCTTCAAGATTCAGTACATGCAGTTCTTGGCCTACACCAAGACCGCCCAGTACAAGGCCAGCCTTCAGCAGCTGCTGGACCAGGAGAAGGTGAGCCCTGCCCTGGGCCCCCTCACGGAGCGGTTCTGCCCCCTGGTCCCGAACGCTGCCGGGCTGTCCTGGGCCCGGAGGCATAACCCGGCGGGGGCTCCCACGCCGTAGGAGCAGTGACGGTCTCCGCAGGCCCAGTCACCTGCCCCTGCAGGGTCTGGAGAGGCTGCGGGACGTTGCTCCTCACCGAGCAGCGATGCTCTCAACCACTGCGATGGGCCAAGGGGCGTCGGCCTTCTGGGCCGGGGCATGTCCCGCCGTGGGAAGGGGCGTGGGGGCACGGGGCCTCCCGTCACCGTGCTGCGCCCCTGCAGGAGAAGAACGCCCGGCTGCTGGGGGCCGCACAGCAGCTGTTCGGCCACTGCCAGGCCCAGAAAGAGGAGATCAAGAGGCTCTTCCAGCAGAAACTGGATGAGGTAGGGGTGCCGAGACCGCATCACCACCCTGGGCGGGCAGCGTGCGGGCCAGGGCACGGCCCAGGGAGCGGAGATCTGGAAGGATCTTCTCCTTCCTGGGGTTTTGACCTTTCACCTGTTCTGACGGCGGGTTCCGGAACGTGGGAGGGCT